GCTCATTTCCTGTTTGTAGGGCGGTGTGGGCACTCCAGGACTGGGTTGCACCTCTCCCTTTCACCTCTGTTCTCAGCTTCCTGCTATGTGGCCTGCCTGCTGTTGTTCTCCTGAGGAGGCTGGCGTCCCTCCTCCCTCGAGGCTGGCTCTCCTCAGTGTCTGGGCCCTGGGCCTCTGGCTCTCCTGGGTCCTGTGTCCTCTTGTCTGCGTGTGCTTTGCGGGGAGGAGTCTAGCCCAGCCTTCATGTTGGTGAGCACAGCCCACACGCCTCCCATACTAGGAAACAAGCCTTGCTTTATGCTAGCCGCCCTCAGAGCAAGCATCCTGTTTCCCTCCGTCCCGATGTGACCGTCACCGACACTGCTGGCCCTCCCTGTCTCACCTGGGCCCTCGCCCTTGAGGAGGGCACACACATCCCAGTTACCCAGCTCGTAAGCTCGGCTCAGTCCTGCAGTGCGGCTGGGCCTCCGGGATGTCCAGCTGGGCCTCCGGGACATCCAGCATTGTAGTTTTTATGACTCAAGTTCTTTCTTGAGCTTCCACTCCCTGGCCAGTCTGAGTGGCACAGGGATGCCCCTAGGACACCCCCAGTTCTGAGGTAAGACACAGAGACTGGGCCTTGGCCTCTTCTGAAAGGATCCACTGCTGGGCAGAGGCCGGCTCCTGTTTGCCTGCATCCTGGACGTTCAGCTCTGCTGAAGACCAGCGAGCTGCCCAGGGAGCGGCTCCTGATGTCTGGGGTGCTCGAGTGCAGAATGTGCACATCTGGCCTCGGTTGTCTCCCCCTGTAACTCCACGGGGTTCTCCCCGCCTCCTCAGCGCTTCTATCTGTGGCCTCTCTGCTGACCTGGCCAGCCTCGCCATGCCCAGTGTAATTCAGACCATACTACTTCCTTGCTGAGCTGGAGGCACTCTATTACTCTTAGAACAAGATCGAAAGCCCTGTCCCTGCTCCCCAGAAAGTGAAAATAGCAATTCCAGGTGGTCCCTTCTAGGCGTCTCCCTGAAAGTGTTCAGGTCGTTGTGTTGCAGGGACCCACGCACACCGCGTTTAGGGCCGCTCGGCTCGCAACAGCTGAATCTTGAAAGCGGCCTGGGTCCATCAACAGATGAGTGGCTAAAGGAAACGTGGCATTTATGTGTCCTGGAGTACGACTGTGCCCTAAAGAAGGCTAAACTGGAGTCACCTATAGGAAGACGGCTGCACCTCGGGACCATGATGCTGAGTGAAATAAACCAGGCACACAAGCCTGAGTATCGCGTGGTTCCTCTTACATGAGAAACTCAACATAAAGGTAACTTTCGGAGCATAGGCGAGAAGTGGGGAATAGGGTATGTGGCAATGGGGAGGGGATCTATGGATGGAGAGAGGACAGAAGGGTGGGGAAGGGAAGGAAGAGGGACCCGGGGTGCCGTGTACACATCCCACTTCCCATGACCAAGGTGACTACTATGCATTGCAAATGTACCAACAATAAAAACAAAACAAAGCAAAACAAACTGAATTCTCCAAGGCTCAGCCTCTCTGGCTGACGGGTGTGTGGCTTGGCTCCACCCCCAATGCCTTGCCGGGCTCCACCCCACCGTCTCGCCCGGCATCTGAGGCCTGAGGCCTGTGCAGTTGGAGCCTTCTCATGCTTTACTTCCTCTGATTCTTTTCCTGTGGAACCAGGCGCCCTTTGGCCCTGGGAAGATCTTGCCTTCTCCCAACAGCTCTCAGGACAGAGACCTCCCCTTGTCCCTGACCCCAAGGTGGTGCCCAGCACAGCCCACTGGTGGGTGACGTGAACAGCACCGAGCTGCTCCTTGCATGGAAGAGTGGCGGAGAACAGCACAGCCTGGCATCTCCAGCCAGCCCTGACCTCCAGGCTCCCGCCAGCGCCAGGGACAAAGGGAGGGGTGCCAGCAGGCGAACACCCAGGTGGTGCCTCAGTACCGTGACTGTAGCTCTGCGCTTCTGAAATTGTGGTTTGACACCAGGAAGAGACACTCTTTGTGCAGATGACCAGTTACAAAGCATTTGCTCACACAAAGACACCTAGTGCTCACAC